CACCCCCCACATCCCCAACACCCCCCCACACATTGGGGACTTCATCAGTGAGTAAATAAACGTCTTGCTTTACTCTACAAGCAGTGCGTTAGAGAGAGCCAAGTTCTCCTCACTCCATCCCCCTGGCCCTGGCAGCCTCTCGGCGGTGGAATCCCTGGTTATTTCCTTTCTCAAGGAGGAGATACTATTCTGGTTTGACAGATCCTTTCCTGGACACACTCGCAGAATTCCCTAAGGTTCTTATCGTGGCTAATGGATAACAATGCAGAGACTATGGGAGTGAGTAATCACTCTCTCCTGGCTAAAAACTTCCTTTATTGACTTCTCGAACTTCCCGTCAGCGTTTTGCTGCCAAGTCACCCTCTTGTTCTAGGCAACTATTAAAAGTAATTCTCGTGAAGCTGAAAAACACATTTAGCCTCCGACAATAAATCACACGAACCTCAATTACTAGCCACTTACACGACAGACTATTAGGACATTAGACTATTGGAATATTTGTAAAATTAAATTGTTTACATGCCTATTTCCTTCCTTAACCCTTACAATAAGAACAGGAGTGAAGAAAGATATCTTTCCATTGTGCTTTACACAAGATAATGTAGAGCAGTGGTTCTCAACCTTCTGGCCCTTTAAATACAGTTCCTCATGTTGTGACCCAACCATAAAATTATTTTCCTTGCCACTTCATAACTGTAACGTTGCTACTGTTATGAATCGTAATGTAAATATCTGATATGCAGGATGGTCTTAGGCGACCCCTGTGAAAGGGTCGTTCGACCGCCAAAGGGGTCGCGACCCACAGGTTGAGAACCGCTGATGTAGAGGCTAGTAGTATTATATGTCAATAAAGGTTTATTTAGTGTCTGCAATGACAGCATTGTCTATTCTTCATTGAAAGAGAAACTGAAAGCAAGGCAATAGCAGCTTACTCTGGGGGCTTACAGTGAAATAGTAAAAGTTTGCTATCACGTTGCCGTGTCTTGTATCACTGTATCCCACGCACACAGCACAGTGCCTCGAACGTAGCTGGCGGCCAATACATTTTCACTGAGTGAAATGAGTAAGTTACCATTTGATTTTATTGTGTGGACCAACATATGACCTTTCATCCCCTGAAGATAAAACACACGATCCCATTACATGGGAACTGTGCCCTCAGCACTGGAATCTAAGACCCCCCATTCCCCAAGAGTAGTGAGACCAACTTCTTCTTGAGGCAATTCTGCTAACTTTGCACATTATTCTCCCCTACAGTTTTCCTTCTTTTGTTTTTCGTCCTGAGGATATTTGTATAAAAACAGAATCGTTGTTGCTTAGTAATTCATCTGCTCCAGCTGCGTGTGTTCTGTTCCTAATCAAGATTCTCGGTTTTCAGCCTCCTCATCATTTTCATAAGGAGTTTAGTGAATTGGCCAGCTCGCTGCTTTCTCCACCTCTGCGGAACGCTGGGCCCCACGCTCCCATGCATTGCTCCTCTTTCTGTTTCTAGCTTGAGGTTATGCATGATTGTGTCACATATAATCTGTCTGCACTCATCATGAAGTGCTCGTTGATGAACAGAGCACCACACCCCACCCCAGTTCCCAAACTCTCTAGCTTCGAGTCAGGGCAGGGTTACCCCACAGTCAGAGAGGGGGAGAGGGTTCTGAGAGCCAGAAGCCAGGGAAAGCCACAAAAGCGTAGGTGGGAACATTTAAGGAGATGGGAAAATATTTTTTTTAGAGGTAAAAGCAAATAGGAAACTTGATCACCTATTATGGTTAATTCTGTCTAAAGCACTTCATTAATCACACCTATTTTTCAATGTCTAATTCTCTTGTGTGTCTTTCCATTCCGTAGACTTGTCTATATCTTTCCCACAGCTGTTTCTCTCATTTCTTACTGTTTCTCCAAAAAGGACAATAAACAGCTTCCTAGCCACATATCATCATAAACCCTGACATGTTAGATTACCCCCTGCTCAGTTTATACATCACATGGGGCCCATAAAAACTCCTCCCTCACCAGTAACCCACCTCACACCAAATTTTCACTTCCCCTTTTCCCTGCTGGGAAGGACACTTCCTACAGGAGCGACCCAGCCACACCCACCACCCCCTTCTGTGCACAGGTGCATCGCCTAGTCCCAGGACACCAGGGGACTCCTCACCTGGAAGGCAGTTGCACTCAAAAGTGAAGTCGCCGGTCTGCCGGCAGGTGCCTCCATTGACACAGGGCGAGGGTGCACATGGCACGTAGGGGCTGTCGCAGTGCTGGCCGGTGAAGCCCTGGGGGCACTGGCACTGATAGGAGCCTGGGAGGTTGAGGCAGGTGCCACCATGCTGGCATTGTCCTGGAATGTCACACTCATTGATGTCAGTCTCGCATTTCTGCCCTGTGAAGCCTGGCAGGCATTTGCAGGAGAACTGGTTGGCCACGGTGGTACAGGTGCTTCCATTTGCACAGGGATGAGACAGGCAGGCATCCGTCCATTGGCACAGCTTACCTGGAAGAAGGGGAACAGAGCTCAGTACTGCCCACGGGAATGGGGGTCGGCCCCATCCTCCACACACCACACCTTCCACCCAATAGGTGACACCAGGGAGTTACTGGATAGAGAATCCCTCAGCTCTTTGAATGAATAAAATGTATTGATATCTTCCACAATCTATAATTACTAAATAGACCTCTTGGAGGAGATAAACAAGTCAATAGTACTTCTTTTTCCTTTAAACACAACACACATGCACACATGTTCTGGGCAACATTTTACTAAAGTGGTCTGGCTATCAATGTTGCTTGATGTGTTTGAAGAGGATGAAGAATCTCTGACTCCTTGTATATGAAAACTAGACAAAGCTAGAAACTGTCATGAGACTAGAGTCTAGAAAGGTAACTCCTGTGCAGTCTCTCAGGTAGGAAAGCCCAGGAGAAGCAGGAAGGCTCCCGCGTGCTGGACACTAAGGCATGACTCCAAGGAAGCAAAGCAGAGAGAGGTAGAAAGAGGAAAAAAACATGCCCATCAACTAATAAATTTGGTATTCATGTGGCTTTTTGTTGTCATTAGCTTAAGCTTTTTTTAAAAAAACACACAAAAGATGTGAGAACCCCTTGAATTTGTAACACTCCAAGTGGTTGTCAAAGTAAACATCCAAGTCTTTGACCCCCATAAGGAAGCAAATGGGGTCATACAGCTTTTCTAAAATAGAGAGGTGACACATGAGCACACAGAAGTGCTCTCTGCTCATCACGGGATATAAATCAAAGAAGAAAGTGCAATAAAAATGTGGGCGCAACACATATATCTCAGGGTGCTAAGCAGAGAGAAAATGCAAAAGCTGCTGCTTGTCTTCCTACTTTTTCTTCATCCCACTGAGAGACAATTTACCTACAGTGGAGAGGAGGTTAAAATGGTTCCTCCTCACAACCATGTGTATCAAGTGTTTGCCTACAACGGAAATAGAAGGGTCCCTGAACTTGGTTTCCCATCAATGTGACGTGTGTGGGGCATTAACTTCTGGCCCCTGTTTCTTCCTCTAAGAGTGGAGATTAGCTAATAAAGTCTGACTAGGAAGGGTATAAGGCCATCACAAAACCAAAAGGGTGAACTTGACCTGTGACAGACAAAAGTGGCAGATGTGCAAAGATGACCAGACCCCTGCAGAACACCAAGGAGAAATCCTTTTAATGACAAAGGAAGGTGTTTTAATTTGGGGGTCATTTCAGAGTAACATTTAAATTATAAAGAAGGCATTACCACCCTGGCCAGGTGGCTTTTGGTTGGAGCGTTGTTCTGTACACCACTGGAATTCTCTCCTTTGTTTGTGGCCTGAGAGACGCTTTTTGTTATGCTAACGTATCAGCATGAAAGGGTCGCCAGGTTTAGAAGGGAATTTTTGTTCAACAACTGAGACATTTTGTTCCCTGAACAACTTGGTCAGAACTGAATTGTTCAAGATGGGAGATGTTCAAGAACGAAGAGGTTTCACTGTATTCTCGTAACCACCAGATCTCTTCAGTGACTCATGACATCAATGCTATCGCAGTCATGATGGAGATGAAGATAATGGATCATCCCAACTATTTTCTACCCTTACCAACACCCTTCAATGAAAAATCAATACACCAAGAATTCCAAACTAACTGATCCAGTCTAGTTTTCTGAGTACGTTTTTCATTTTTTGCTTATTAGATTTACTGAGTCATTGGTGTTGTCGGGGACAAAACGGTTCTCCTTTTCTCATCTAACTTAATAAACACTTATGGTTCATTTTGAATAAAGCTCAGACATACCTTTGAAGAACCCATAATCCAGTCAGATGAGAGCCATGTAAAAAAATTAACTACAATAAATTGTGACACATAAAATAATAGAACATAGACACAAACTGTCTAAAAGGCTCATGAAAGGGGCAGGAAGACAGAGTTTTAAATAACATTGGGCAATCGCCAATTATAGAAAAGGGCATTCCCGGCAAGGGGATGTGCAACAGCATGGAGGCAATAGGAAGTATGACATTTTCAGGAAATGATGAGAATGATGGCGTGACTAAAGCTACATGCTGGCGGGGAAGTGAGGCTATAAACAGATGTAAGGTCTAGACCAGCCGTGGGCAAATGAATAAAACTAAAAAAAAAAAAAAAAGACCGTACCCTTTTATGTAATGATGTTTACTTTGAATTTATATTAGTTCACACAAACACTCCATCCATGCTTTTGTTCCGGCCCTCCGGTCCAGTTTAAGAACCCATTGTGGCCCTCCAGTCAAAGTTTGCCCACCCCTGGTCTAGACTGTGAAGGGCTATGGAAACCATATAAAAGCGTTTGCAGCTTACCCTGTGAATGACAGGAACTCACTGGGCATTGTACTCAGGTGACTTTACGGTATGAGTGGATTTGCATTTATAATTAAAGGCATGACAATGTGACCAGCGCACAAGATGGGGAAATGATAAAGGCAAGGAGACCAGTTAGGAAATGACTGTGGGAGTCCAGGTGAGACATGACAGGGACCTCAACTGCAGAGTAGGAGAGCAATGGAGAGGGAATAGACAGATGAGAGGTAATTCAGAGGGTGGGTTGGGTGACTGAGTCTAAGCGGGGTAAGGGAAGGGAGAGGGAGTTTCTAGTTTGAAGTAGTTGGAGTGTACCACAATTTATATCAACATGTTGAGTTTGAGGTACCTGTTGAATTTCCAAGGATAATATGCAATACTTAGTTAGAAATATGAGTCTGAATGTTGGGGTCAGGGTGGAGCAAAAAAGATGACTACCAGAGTCATCAGCAAGTGATGAAGAAGAATACAAGAACAGTTAAAGCCAGCAGAGACAGAGAGTACCTGGGGAGAGCTGAAGTAAGACTTAAAAGAGACCTCAAAACAGAATTCCAAGGAACACAAAAATGCAATGGATGAGGACAAAGCAATGCAGGAGCAAAGGGAATAATCAGAGTTCAGAAAGTCAGAACAGCCAATGCCCTGAATGTCTAGGGAGAGGAGATTTCAAGATGCAAGTAATTAATAGCATGAACAGCTTTTCTGCCGGCAATCGTGAGGTGATTCTGGTCCCCAATTCTGACAGGTATACTTTACACAGTCAAATGCTTCTGAGTATTTCTTTCTCTTTCTCCTCTCTTAAAACTCTCAAAAAAGAAGCTAAAAATAGTTGTCCGGAACATTCCAGTTCCTTACCATAATGTTAAGTATGTACCCAGTTGGGGGACCTTAAGAGCCAGATGTCTAGAGCTGAAAGATGCTAAATAAAGACACATACTGAGAATAGGAAAGTTTGGGCCTGAGTCCCACTGGATACCTGTGAAACCAACTTGGCAGGTGCACTCATAATCATCCTGGCTGAGCACATGGCAGGTGCCTCCATTCTGACAGGAAGGAGATGCATAGCAGGGGTGCGTGGTCGAGTACTGGCAGTCCTCGCCTGTGAACCCCGGAGCACATTGGCATGTGGCCTTCCCCAATATGGCCTGGACCACGCATGTCCCACCATTCTGGCAGCGGTTCTTCCCACAGGGGTCTCGATGTTGACAATATTCTCCCAAGAAGCCCTCTGGACATCTGTGTGGAAAAGAGAGTAGTCCATGAAAACACTTGACGTCTTATAAATAAAAAAAACTTACAAGATCATGCATTCCAGTCAAGAAAACACTAGATTGAGAATCCAGAGGCCTGAAGACACAACTGCAAAACTGCCTTGATTTAGGAGAAGTGTTTAGAAAAGTTAATCACACATTCCCAAGTCCTTTTGAGTCTAGGCTGGGGACAGAATACTAGGTGGTGATTCAGCATGGTCTGCCATGGCCAGCCAACATGACTCTTATTTAAAGCAAATTACAACCAGAGATTTTTTTCCATGTACATACAGACTGATATGGTATAATGGCACCTTTTTATGCAGCATTGTTGATACTTATCTGTTTAAATTCCTCTCCTATTTAAAATACATAAATTACTGGATTTCCAGTCAAGATGGTGGCATAGATAAATGCAGTACCCATCCTCTCACAACCACACCAAAATTACAGCTAAACTACAGAACAAACATCTTTCAGAAACACCTAAAATCCAGCTGAATGGAAATCCTACAAGTAGGGATTTAAAGAAAAAGCCATATCAAGACTGGTAGTCAGAATTTAATAAATGTTGAAATTATTATTCCTGCCACTGAGAGTACAGACTCTAGAACCAGACCACCTCTATTTCAGTCCCAGTTCCCCATTTATTCGATGAGTGATCTTGAGCAAGTTACTAAACCCTCTTTGTTATAAAATGGATTTAATAATCATGCCTACCTCATCAGACTCAAATAATTATAAAGCACTAAGAATTATATCAGTACATAGCAAAACACCATGCATTTACTAAGTAAAATAAAATCACTGGCTCACTACTTCAACAATAGAACAGTCTTCAGTGTGGGCGGATCCCATTGTCAGAAAGCTCTTCCTTCCTGATGTCTTTAAACTCTTGCCTCCCTCCTAGGTATATACCCAAGGTAGCTGAAAACATGAGAAGTCCATACAAAAATTTGTAAAGACATTCGTATCAGTACTGTTCACAATACCAAAAAGTAGAAATAAATAAAATGTGGTACATCCAGACAATGGAATATTATTTAGCCAAGAAAATGAATAAAGATCCAATACATGCTATGACCTGGATTAACTTGGAAAACATCATGCTAAGTAAAATAAGCCGGACACAAAGGCCACAGATTGTGAAATGTCCATTTCTATGAAATGTCCAGAATAGGCAAATACATAGAGATTTAAAAAAATAGTGCAGCCAAGAGTTGAAAAGAGGAGGAAATGGAGAATGACTACTAAGGACTAGAGAGTTTCTTGGGGTGGGGGAGGAGTTAATGAAAATATTTAGAAATTAGATCATGGTAATGGTTACACATAACTGTGAATATACTAAATTGTACACTTTAAAAGACTAAATTTAATAGTATGCAAACTTTATCTTTTATTTTCCTTTAAGTTCTACCTCCCTACAATTTCCACATATTGGTTATCCCTGTTAAAGGTACAAACCTCTGCTTTCTTACAGAAGCCCTTCAAGAATCCAAAGACAGTTATGGTAACCCTTTGTTTCCTTTTTTCCAGGATTCAATCTTTTGGCCTATTCCAGGGGTGGGCAACCCCTGGCACGTGTGCCAAACATGGCACGCCAGTAACTTTTGCTGGCACGTGAAACCCTCTCTTGTAATTTTCCATTTACAATTTTTTCTTAATATCGACTTTTTTATTTTTCAGATAAATTCAGCGTAGGTGCATCTTAGATAAATTAATTTTACATAAAAAGTTATCTTAAAGACCATAGACATGGATTGACGAGAGAGGGGAAGAGCAATTTCTATGCCTCTGCCTTAACTCTCCCTGCCTTCCTAGATCCGACCAGTGTTTTGGTTTCATCCACATACGCTTATGAATCTTTGTTCTCAGTGATGAATTTTGTTAAGTCTCGTAATAGGAGTAGCCTGATGGATGAAAGTAGTAGCTCGTGCATATCTCTGAAGGTCACGAAATATAAACCTGATGTAAAATCTCTGTCATCAGTGATGCAGCAGCAAAAGTCCCACTGATAATATCAAACGGAGTCATAAAGTTTTCTGTCAGACTATCAGTGTACATGTATACATTTAAAAATAAATGTATTTTTCATCATCATATACTGTGTTTTTGTCACTCGAATGAATAATTTTATTATTTCTTCAAGGTTCTTCACATACGTACAACTTAAGAGATATCAAGTAGGTGTAACATGTTGTCAAAAAATTAGGGTTGGCACACAGAAGAATTTTGAGTCAGAGATTTTGCTGGTTTTGGCACGCACTCACAAAAAGGTTGTCCACCCCTGGCCTATTCCTCAGTACAGGACAACTATTTCTGGTTCATAGGAGCATCGACCTATGAACCAGGAGGTCATGGTTCGGTTCCTGGTCAGGACACATGCCCGGGTTGTGGGGTGAGAGGAGGTAGCTGATCAATGATTCTCTCTCGTCATTGATGCTTCTATCTCTCTCTCCCTCTCCCTTCCTCTCTGAAATCAATAAAAATATATTAATTAAAAATGTAAATAAATAAATCAAAACCTCAAAAAAAACCATATAAATAAATTATTTCTGGACTTCCTCACTATTTTAGTAGCTCTTCCATGCTTAAGATAACAATAGTAATAATGACAGTCACCAACATTTTTTAAAGCACTTACTATGTATTATGTATTTGCTAAGCATTTTACAGCTTTTATTACTACTTATAATAGTATATTATATTATGATCTCCACTCTGTATATGAAGACCTTGAAGCTTAGAAAGATTAAGCTAGTAGGTAGCAGAGGCATCAAACCTATGCTGCTCCCCAACTGGATGATTCTAGTTCATCCAAAACCTCTTTAAAAGCGTGGGGCCCAAAATGGGAAAAACAAACAAACAAAGAAAAAACATAACACATATGTTCTTTTTGGAACAGCACAGAACTGGACATGATGTTTCCACTACAGCAGCCTAACACGTGTTCACTTTTTAAAAGCCACAGAATACTATTATGTGCTCCCAGATGATTTCCCCCCCACATGAACTACTTTTATAACACATTTCTTTATCCTTTAGTCGTACAACATGTTTAACACAATAATTTAACCTATTATCTGTTCCTTTTAAATTCACTATGCTGAATCTTTCCTCCAAGTTTTCTTGATTGAGATGCCTTACCCTTCACAACTAGCATTAGTGCCCAGCCCTTCAAATCCAAGTCCCTTAGAATCTGAGACCTGCTCCTCTGCCCCACTCCTACCAGCTGTCTTACCACTCAGCAGTCCATAACACAAACTCTCCTGATTACTTCCACACTCTTGTATGCGGTTTCCTATATAAAAATCATCTTTCTACTTTACAGTGAGAAACATCATCTTTTCCCTTCTGTTATGTCTAATTTATGTTCCTTTCTTCCATCTTTGCTTCAAAGGTCTGCTCAAAACCAATGTCCTCCACTTAGCCTTTTCCAAATCATCCTACCCATCTCTGATCCCTCCGACAGCAGATGCAGTGCCGTGCTTTGCACTACATTATTTGTAGTGTGGCTCTTCTTCCTTTAAGCCACTGCTATGTCTTTCCTGTGCCTCTGTCAAACTCCCATTTAATTCTCTGTGTGAGGTGGAGGGAGAGGAAGGTCATGTCTTGAGACCCTGGTGCAGGTGCCTGTATACCAGGAGCATTATGTACCATTAGGCAACTGATTCCAAAGCAGCTTAAATTTGCCCGGCCATGTAGCTCAGTGGTTGAGCTTCCACCTATGAACCAGGCGGTCACGGTTCGATTCTCAGTCAACCCGGTCAGGGCACATGCCCGGGTTGCAGGCTTGAGCCCAGTGCGGGGTGTGCAGGAGGCAGCTGATCAATGATTCTCTCTCATCATTGATGTTTCTAGCTCTCTCTCTCCCCCTCTCCATTCCTCTCTGAAATCAATAAAAATATTTTTAAAACATATTTTTTTAAAAAGTAGCTTATATTTCATATGATGGATAAAGTCAGTTTTCCAATCAAGTCTGCTAAAAAATTCCCTTCCAACCCCATACTGCTCTGCCTGGTAGAACACAGGCCAACTCAACCCGAAGAATCATCCTGAGGTACAAGATTAGCCCTCAGTCCCCAGGAGGCTCGGCAGAATTCTGGACATGGGCAGAAAGGGGAGAACTGGGTAAGGGAGACGGCTAGAAATAAAGGGCCCGTGTTTCCCAAGGCAGGAGACCTTTCACCTGCAAATCCCTGTTCAACCGTAAGACAAGTACACACAAACCCCGTTAATCTGAGTGGGAATTAAGACTCGGCCTGAAAACAAGGGCCTGAATACCTCTCTTTTGAGTTGGCCCAAGCTGCCTGTGGGTAGAGGCTAGAAACATGGCCAATCACGCAAGTTCCCTCGCAGATCTACAGTTCTACTGCGCTAACCCAGGAAAGCTTTCTTGAAAATGACCTACATCTTGAATACAGATCTATGTAAAATATAACCCAATAAACCTAACAGCTGCCTTTTGTTCCCCGAACTATTTGAACGCCTGCCTCCTGGAGGGAACAGATCGCTTAGTTCAGTGCTTCTCTCAGCGACACCCTCCCATTCTGTCCCCCCTTCTCCAGCTCAGGAACTCTGAAAGAGCCCAGTCCACAGAGGAGGCTGGGAATACAGGGAGAGTTGGTGGGAGGGGAGCTGGTTTTCCTGTAAAATAATTCTCCAAACTGACCTGAATGCCTATCAGGTCCATGCAGGAGGTCACAGTTTGATTCCTGGTCAGGGCACATGCCCGGGGTTTGGGCTCCATCCCTGGTGTGGGGCGGGCAGGAGGCAGCCAATCAATGATTCTCTCTCATCATTGATGTTTCTATCTCTCTCCCTCTCCCTTCCTCTCTGAAATCAATAAAAAATATATATTTTTTTAAAAAGAAATGCACTCACTCACTGTTACTATTCAAACACACACATGGGGAATGTAGTGCAGGGGAGGGAGGGAGGGAGGGAGGAAAGGAGGGAGGGAGAAAAACAAGGGACTCCTCCTAA